GAGAGCTCAACTTTGTCTTCTTTTTGCTTTTTCTTTTTGTTTTTCTTCATGTTTTTGCTCATTGAGAAGCTCCGCGAAAATGTTTTTTTTTACGTTGTGTTACAACAATAAAAAAAAGCCTAACGCAACGTAGTCTACTATGGAATGATTTCTAAGAAAAAGAAAAGAAGAAAATATTGAATTTGAAACCAAATGAAGGAAAATTGAAATACGATATGTTTCCCTGATAGGTCTAGCCCTTTTTTTCCAGATCTAGAAAGCAAGAAAGAAAATAAACAGAGAAGAAGAGAAAATGAAGAAGACGGAAGAATTCAATGAAAGAGTCACTGGATTCAGGAAGTTTAAAATCATTAACGGGGATCGAAGGAGAGTCAATGGATCCGGGGGTAATTTATCACACTTTCTTTCTAAATGTTGCAAGATCGACGCGTGTTCGTCGATGATTCGGCGTGTTTGAAAACCGAATAAGAACATCGGTGATATTATATTGTGAAAGATAAACAAAACACGTCAAACAAGGGGGCCGCGAATTAGGTGACGGAGATTCTTGTTTGAAAAGGATTTATGATAATCTTAAGAGGTTAGGGATAAAGATATTCGTCCCGAGAAAATTGGAGAGGAAGCTGAGAGATTGATGGTCCCGAACGGCGATTAGTGGGGATACGAAGACGAGAACCCTCGATTACACGTAAAAAGAAACGCCAAAAACGGGGGTGAGGGATGAGGGCACCGAGGATGAGGGCCGAGAGAAGACAAGAAGACGAAGAAGCGAATTTTGTCTACGCGCTGTGGTCACTAGTCATCTCTCTGTGTCTCACGAGTGCCCTGTCCCTCGAATTTTCTTCGCACATCTTTGTGACACACTACTTCTCATCGATTTCTAGTTTTTTTCCTTTCCTCCCAAATGGTGTCAACGACGGGTGCAGACCCTCTTCCGAAAAAAACACGAAGTGAAATTAGCATCTTCAATTCTATTTTTTGTCTGGTTTTGCACACAAGCGCGTTTTCTTCTCTAAACTTCAAACTTTCAACTCAAAATAGGCAGCTATTTTTATATTTGTCTATTTATGACGACGTGGTGAGCAGCAATTACTTTTATATTTAATTGTGTTGATCAGAATTGACCAGAAAACTTGAGTAATCATCGGACACAAGGATTAATGATATCAGTGTGAAACAAAACCAGATAAACACTCCAAAATCAAAAATCGTCCTCCAAGAAGAAGTGTTCAGAGGGAAGCTTTTGACGTCACAAAAGAAAAAAAACATTGTTATTACAAGAAAGGTTTCTCAGTTTCTCATATTGCTTATGCTGAAGAGAAGGGCCATTAGAACGTCTTTCGGAAGAAGTAAGATTTTTTCTCAAGGATACATTTTCCAGAATGAAAGGAGAAATCGCTTACTATGAAAATAAAAGAAAAAAGTCATGATCAGCAGGTGATTTTTGGCGCCGAAATTCAGAATCAGATGGGCTTGATCATAAGAGGGGAATGAAACTGATGAAACTGTTTTTAAATAAATTTTTACACTGTTTTCATATATAACAATGATTTATGTACATATAACAACAACTGGTTTTGACACCAATCGTTGATATTTGTGTGATATTAATTTTGTAAGCTAGAGAAACCTAGAAACTGATAATTAAAAGGGAAGAAGTACAATGACAGTTATATTCGTTGTCTGAGAAAAAGTCGGGAGCAAATATTTCGTTTAAATTTTTAAAGTTGCAAAAGCAAACTACGGTATTACTTTGAAATATTACGTTTCTATTTTCTCAATTTTTCGACGATTTTCATAACTTTAATTTTTTTTGATTAACGTAGAAAAAAAAAGAAAATTGTCAAAAAATGGAAAAATATTGGTAAATGTATACTTTATATTCAAAAAAGCACAAAGAGTACGTTAGGTCGCTCATGCGCTTCTGAGAAAAATTTAACGATAATTCGTATTTCATTATTGCTTTTTTGAACTATCACAAATTCTACTTTGTTAAAAAATAAAAATGTTCTCACTTTTCAGTTAGTCTGGAAAAAATTTTATATTAAAGCTGAATGATATTTTCACTGAGGTAAAACCCACAAGAAAACTATGGAAAAAAAACTCTGAATTCTGATAATTTAAATTTTTTCAAAAAAAAGTTGTTTCATTTTCCGAAAGACAAATAGAAAACCAAAATTTGCCAAGACTGAAAATAGTAGACTTAGAAACTTCGAAAATTTGCAAATTTCAATGTTTTCGGTTCGCTTCGCATTGGAAATAAAACCCCAAATTTGAGAAGTAAAGAACAAATTGAATATCAATAGGAGGAGGAAACGCTGACATTAATCAAATTTATGCTAATTTTGTCGTTGAACTATTTGTTTGGCGTTTGCAACGAGCTAATCGGTCCGAACGGGCGCTCCTCTCTTTTTCTTCTCTTTCATTCAATGGCGTGGTTTGACGTGTTATGTGTGCGTATGGAATGTAAATTGGGGCTATGAGAGCGACCATACAAAACCACCGAAAAGAAAATAGTAGTAACACAGCATCAGCCTTTTTTTCGAGACTGGGACCCCGTATATGTGAATAAATACCCACAATTTCAAACTGCATCTGCTCGCCTCTTTTTATTGCTTTTTTTTCTTCTTTTTTGATTTTTTATTGATTCCACAACTACCACCACCCCATAGATCTTCATCACTTACCAGCTCGAGAAACACAAGAATATGTATGAGTAAGACGAACGATCAAGAATTATCAGGAATGAATGGGATGGAATAGACTGATGGGAGGTGGAGCCATACCGACTGGCACAGTAAATAATTACTGATAACGAGTGTATGGGGGTCCTAATAGGAACACGATAAGTCGAACAGTCGAATAGTACTTGATAGGAGACCGCTAATAATGTATGTTTCAGGTTGGTAATGTGTGCTGATAAATGATAAAGAGGTACCCAGAATAGCGTTTTATGGCCTTAATGAGTTGATAATCAACATTGGAACGTTGTTAGTATTGTCGTACAGGAAGAAAAGAATAGTACACAAGGATAGATAGAACTGAACAGAATTAGAGACAAATTTAGGAAAATGAATAAATATACAGCTCTACCCGATAATATTTAAATTTGACTTACTTTCTGTTGAATAAGTTCGAATTCTGATTTCTAAAAATATAGTAGATTTTGTTGTATGAGACTAAAAACATTTAGGTCTACTAAACAAAAACATATACTATGTGAATGAACTTGTACAAATACTTTGTGAATTACTAAATTGAAGCTCTACTTTTGTCGAGTAAAAAAATATAGTTTCGTCCAAAAATTTTTCCTGACGTTCTGCTCGTCTTTCCAGAAAATTAGGAAAATTTGGGGTGAATGAAAAAAAAAAATTTGAATTTAAAAAGTTAGCAAAAAACAGTGTTTCATTTGAAAAATTTGAATTTCCCGAACAGTTTTTCCCGAATGTGAAAAATACGTACACCCAAGGCCAATTTTTAAGTTTTGATTTAACCATTGCGTCTTGATTTTCAAAGTGTGTTGAAAAAATCAAATTAATGTATTTGTGGTTAGTACTGTAGCTAGAGCAGATTTGTAAACATTAGAAAACTGAGAAAAAATTGGATACATAATAGGTCACAATTTATAAACTTATCAAAACCGATTTATGAATTTTTTGAAAATTTTTGTAAATGATTCCTACATGAATATCGACAAGATTTTTCATGAAAGACATTGTTTGAAAAAGACGATTCTCACTAAATTCAGTCATAGAAGAAACATTAGAAAAATTTTGAAACACATAAAACTTCAACATCAGCTGCCCGCAAAACAAAGACACTGGACAGAAATGAACTCTCGGATGAAAAGCAATAATTCAGAGACCATATGTGTAAGGTCATGTTTTACGACTACTCGCATGGTCGAAAACTGCAAGGAAATGAAATATATACAGCACAGCAAAATGTGTCCTTTTTTCCAGTAGGAAACTTTTCACGAGAAAACTGTGATCGGTCAAAAAAGAGGAAACTAGAGAGATATATCAATCAGATTGTTGCCAATCAGAACGTCGAAAATTTTCGAAAATGAAAAAGTATTCTTGAGTGAAGAACTTGTAATCTGTCAAAAAGACTGTGGAAATTTGTGATAAGAAGCTGGTTTTGCGGGAAGTTTGCACTTTGGTCACTATCTTTTCAGAAATGGTCACATAAAGAATTAACATTGCGCTAATTAAGACACAACAATTGAGTTGTGCGTAGTTTTCGTTTACAAATAGTAAAAACTCGTATGGGGTGAGAGGTGTTTATTCAGCGGGGAAACTTTTTGGGTGGGGGACAGAGAAAGTTCACCGTTCGACGACAGTTTGCAAAAAGATCAACTTCCTCCTCATTGCTCCATTCTTTTCTATTCTCTTTTTCACTTGAGTGTTTTTTTTTTGACTACTTACCGGGACAGCAGCAATAGACACTTTTCGAGAAGAATGAAGAAAGGCGGTGCAAAGCGAAAGGAAGAAAAAAACGAACCACGAAGCGCGGCAACAAAAAAAAGCAGAAGAAAAGAGGATCAGAATGATCCTGGAGATGAAGTTATATGATGAGTTTTTTGAGTTTTTTGTTGGATTTTTTTGCCGTCGCCAGATTTCATGCGATTTCTTTTTTTCCGTTTTTTGTCCTTTCTGGTAAGAGAAAAACCAAGAAAAACCCAGAAAAACCACAACAAAAGAAAGTAAAATATATATGCATGTATCATTTTTTTATATTTTGACATGTCTATGTCAATCAAATTTTTTTGCCTATGCTTTGGTCACATGCACCATATATGTAACTAAGATTTTTCAAGTTTCCCGTTACAAGAATTTTATGCTACGATGACGTCTTTTAAGACTCTAACATCTGCAAAAAACCGCTAATTAGAAAAACAGGTGATGCTGAAGCAGATGCAAAAAAGTTTTTGAATTCAAAGAATTTAGTTGAAGAATTTTATGAAAGATAAGAAATACAGAAAAACTTTAAAATCAAGTTTAATATCCTGGTCCAGTTCTTGGTGGTGGACAATGATCGCAAGATCCTGGTTGTCCTGGTGGTCCACGTGGTCCGGTTCCTCCGTGTGGTCCTGGCAGACCATCGGATCCCTTTTCTCCTGGATCTCCTGGAAGTCCTGGTGGTCCAGCTTTTCCTGGCTGTCCATCCTTTCCTGGTGGTCCTGGTGGTCCTTGCGGTCCTGGCGGTCCCGGTGGTCCTGGTGGTCCTGGTGGAGCTCCATTGATGACCTTTCCTGGCTCTCCGGTTGGTCCCTTCTCTCCTGGAACTCCTGGCGCTCCTTGTGGTCCTGATGGTCCTGGTGGTCCTGGTAGTCCTGGTACTCCATCTTGTCCAGCGGTTCCGGCGTCGCCTTGTGGTCCTGGAAGTCCCTTTGGTCCTGGTGGTCCGGCTGGTCCTGGTGGTCCTGGTGGACACTTTTGGCATGGAGGCTTTGGTGGTGGTCCTGGAAGAAGAGCTCCATCTCTTCCTGGTGGTCCTGGATTTCCTGGACGTCCTGGAGCTCCTGGGCGACCGTCTCTTCCTGGGGGTCCTGGTGGTCCTGGTGGACCAACTTGGCAGGTACAGCAAGATCCGGCTGCGGAGGATGGTGGGCTAGCAGCAATTGGCTGGGCTCCATAGTTATCACGACGGGTACGACGGGCGGTACGGACTGGGATTCCACCGGTGGAAGTTTGAACAGTGACCATTTCACGCCACATGTCACGAGATCTGGTCTGAAAAATTTTCGGGATGATAGGTATCTTTAGTTAAGCTTATTAACTTACCTTACAGAAATCGACCTCGCTATTCATCACGGACTGAAGGTGCTGGACATGATTGTACACCAATGGAACAATAATACATGTAGCCACCATGGATGTCACAGCCAGAGCTGCCGAAGCAATGGCTAGCGTCCGGAGAGAGCGCTTTGGAGCGCCTTTTTGCTCCATTCTCTGAAAAAATATCTAATGAAAAAAGTAAGAGAGAAGTAAGAACATAAAAGGAGAAAAGTGAATCCAAAAGAGAAAGAAAATGAATGAAAAACTGTTGTTCTATTGTACACATATATATCACTAGTGCTGACCTAATTAGATAACGGACCGACTGACCTGGATTATCTTTCCTCGGTATCTCCGCTGAGATTTCACTTTTTGCCTGTGAGTATGTACTCATCCCGCTGTGATCACAAAAGATAATTGGAATTCCGGAGGAGGTCTTTGTGTGTATGTGAATCTGAATATTTTACATGGTGATGAGAAGGAATGGTATGAGAAAGTTAGATGAGAGTGTGATTCAGAAAATCCCTGGTTCACTGAATATGTGTCTGGACCGTCACATATTGTGTCTGGACAGTCAAAAAAAAAAGAAAGTTTTATCAATTTTTTCACATTAAATCTGATTAACTGTAACGAAGACAAAAGCCATTTATCAATTTTGTTTGATTAGTGATATTATATACCGTATTTCCTTTGATAGAAGTTCACATAAACAAATGAACTTCGAGTTCATTTGTTTCAGTTTCTGTAAAAGATATCTAAAATGTGTCAACAGACAAAACACTTCTGATATGACAGTGAATGAACTATTTGTTCACGGAATTTTTATATCATTCACAGAAATTGAGACAATTGAGCTCAAAGTTTATGGGTGAGCTTCTATTCAAATAAATAAGCACAAAATTGAATCCACAACACCCGGCAAAAATCGCTCCTTTTAAAAAATTGTTTTGAGAATCATTATTCATCATTTCATGAAATTTGGTTTTAACAATTTCATAAAATTCGTTAAATAATTTTCATATTTTATTTGAATAAGAGAAAATTATGAACTAAATCATATTATTGAATTTATCCCTATAACTTCAAATGACTATTTTCACGTTTTTATAATATTTTTCTCGTCTTTCTTTTTTTCCGATTTTTTCTTTTTTTCTTTTTTTCCCTATAATTTCAAGTATTGCGAAATCCTGCCACCTAACTTTCGGAAACTTTCACTTTCGAACGTGCCTACTTTCTAACGTCCTGCGTCTGGCACCCACTTTCTCTTCCCGTTATCACTTGCCAATGCGTGTGTGTTCCATGTGTTCACGACGACAAGTGAGATTCAGAGAGAAAAAGATATAACTGAAATAAGAGCCACGAGAAAAACAAGTAGAAGGTCCCTCAGTTGTTTGCAGCAGGAAAAGCAAGAGTAACTCGTTTCAAAATGTGATAGGATCATTTATTAGTTGTTGGTCAAATTCGAATCAGCATGGAAACAAAGAAGAATGTAGAATGAAAGACAAAAGTAAACCAATTGTTGCAGTTTGTTTTTGTTTTTTCTTCCTCTCGTTTTATTACATCTTCATGAGTCAGTGTGATTGTTGTAATATGAAAATTTGTGAACGGAAATTATTGAGAAAAGGCAACAAGTAGAGTTCTTAAAACCGAATTGAAAACCAAGATATTGAATTTCTTAATTTTTTTTCAAACGTTTTTCTACAGGCTCGAACTTTTCTTGAAACCTCGAACACCGGAGAATATGGGAAAATCATTTCACGTTAGGAAGTAAGTAAGTTAAAAAGTAAAGCGATCACTGCGATATAATAAAAATTACTCGGTTCTGATCCGAAACTCCACAATTGAATTTTGTAAACCACTTGCTGATTAATTTTAATGATTTTACTGAATGATTCATCAATTTAGATGGTGGAGAAACAACATTTTCATAAACGAGGAACTAAATACATGCACAAATCCTCAAAAGATTAACTTTTCATATTATTTTTTTCAGACTCTTTTAAAGTTGTTTCAATTTTTCAAAGATTTAAAGACAGAAATAGATTGTGCCTGTGAATTTTTGAATGTCTGAAAAATACAATACCCGGGAAAAATCAACTTTCAAAGGCATATTAAAAAATCTAGAAACACCAGAGTATGTGTGAATACACTCAAAATCCAAAAGTTCATAATCATTTAACTTTCAGTATTTTTTTGGTTTTTCTACTTCCAGGTAGAACATAAAATCCCAAATAAAAAAAGAGAAAGTAACTTGGATACCCAGAACGTTAGAAAGTAAGCAAGTTGAAAAGTGAAAGTTATCACCACATAGAACATAGATTTACGACAAGACAAATTTACCTAGATACGCAGAACGGTAGAAAGTAGGCTAGTTAGAAAGTGAAAGTTAACAAGAGATTGGAATAGGAGCGAATTTCTAAAAAGTAGTTCATTATCCATGTTTATTTGGATTATTCATATAAGCTCGAATTCGAATTTGGGTAAAAAACTGAGACAGGTACCACTCCGTTAGCCTGATATTCTGATAAAACTTAAGCTAAGAAGTGCAGGCTACCTAAAACAACCAGAAAATGATAGCTGCCCGTCATAAAGTCCATTCACATGACCATAGATTTATGATTTTTTGTGAGCTAGGAGTCGGTACCGTTTGAGGGATTATAATTTTAGTTGAATTATGAGTTGGGAAGATTTCAAAATGTTGTGGGCAGCATAAGGATCATTCATGTTTGGTCCAGATTATCATGTTCTGATCAGTCAAAAAATTGGATTTGTTTTCAAAAAACATTATCTTTCTTCTTTTTCCTTTCATCTATCTCTCTTTCACTATGGGCCAAGAACTTTCACTTTGTGAAAGATATCGAAAGAGAAACTAACCTAGACGCGCAGAACGTTAGAAAGTAGGCCAGTTGGAAAGTGAAAGTTGCTGAGAGTTTGGCAGATTTCGCAATATCTTGATGATTGAAAAGTTTGGAAAAATGGGGATTGAATGCTATTTCTGTCAGATAGAAAGCTCAGAAAGAACGTGTTGTACTCAAAAATGTTTTTTCAATAAATTAGAAAAATTGTTTTACTTTGCTCTTATGCCAATGAGCGTTGAAAAAATATTTAATTTACTTGAATTTAGGGTTTTTCAAATTTTACTTACTTCATGTATTTTCTTCTGGTTTCTTCTAGAAAACATTAAAAAATGGTCCGCTATAATTGAAAGAAAAACCGCTTCAGCCGAGATAAACCAGGTTGAACTATGGGATTCCACAGGAATGTGCGTTTTGGTTTATGCTCAACTTATTAAAGTCAGATGCTATCCTTAGTTGATACGAAATTTTGGTTGTCCACCATAGGTGACCGTCTCCGCAGTTTCAAAGAAAGCAGTTCCGTTTGTGGCTAGCTGTGAATGATGACGAATTGATTTTAGTCTTTGTTCATTATCTTGTTCGCTATATTTCGCAGGTTCGCTATATTTTTTTCCTCAATTCAAATTCTCAAAAACACTTGCCTAGAAACGCAGAACGTTAGAAAGTAGGCAAGTTTGAAAGTAAAAGTTATTACTCACTATTAAAGGTATAAAAAGAAAAACCTACTTAGATACGCAGATTGTTAGCAAGTAGAGAAGTTCAAAAGTAAAAGTGTTCAGTATCATTAAAAAAAGCGGCTACTGTAGTTGCGGAAATTACGATACTACAATAATGACATATATCGTAAATGGTCCAATACTCGGACGTCGCCGGCTACTATGGTAGAATGCTGGTCAGGTTTCGGAAAAGAGGATTGTCAAGGCCGACAGAACTCCGACAAAACTCTTGGAAAGATTGGCTCTGTGGGGAATCACAACGGGTATTCAAAATTGACTGTGATGTTTGTACCCCTCTAAACTTCTGACCAGATTTACATGTATTTCAAGACTTATTCTTTATAGGTAACCCGTTTTTGATATCATTTCCAATAGTATTAAAAAAGATTTCGTCTAGATTAGCTTTAAAAATAACCTCCAACATCTGAAAATGGGATAAAACTACACGAGCGGTTTATTATGATGTCATTCAAAAATAATGAATCAGTTAAAAAAAATAACACGGAAAATGAAAAACGAACAGAATAAAAATGAAAGGGTTTGTGTCGCCGGTGGGAAAAAAGTTATACCAGCTAATTACAGGATGAAGACCACGAGATCTAAAAACGATTAGTGTGAGTGAACTGTCTACTGAAAGACTTTGTTAATTTGGAGAGGATGGAGATTAGGAATAGAGGTTAGAACAGGAGGGGTTTCTGATGTAAACGAAAATTGGAGCCGTAATTAAATTTTATTTGACAGTATTTTGACAGCAGAAGATTTCCCGGTAATTAGTCTTCGGATAGACACTTCTTCCTTCGTTTGATATCCAGTTTTGTTCGGAGAATGCTGAAAGAAGACGCGGATTAAAAGATTAACTCAGTTTTGAAATTCTTACTGATTGATACTACTCCTCGATGGTGCATTATCTCGTGAACAAATTCCATCTCTTATCAATTGCTCTCGGATTTCACTCTGTCGGCACATTCCAAGTCGTGATCTGGAAATGATTTAGTTCAAGACCTGGTTATTTTCCCATCTTCTTACCGATAATCTCGGACGGCTAAAACTAAAGGCGATTCAGTGCGACCCTCTTTGGCATCCTTTGGTTTTACTGATCCGGTTTGGCGATATCTTAAAAAATCTATTTTTCAAACAAGAAAAATAATAAAACTATAGTTTCAAAAGCCCACTCTTCTGACTCACCTGTTGAGAATTTTGCTCACACAACTGTGGGTGACGCATAGACGTTTCGAAATGTCGCAAATCTTCCATCCAGCCTGTAAGAAACCAGTTTACCAGTTGAGGATGAAACGAGAAAGTTTTTTAGTCTAACTTGAAACAGCTTCACAATCTCCTCGCGTTCACACATCGACAACGGTAGGCCCGGGCTGTAGGTGCGTCCAAGTTGATTTCGTCCTGAAGAAACAAAAAAAGCTAATATATGGCATTCGTCTCATCAGAAGAATCTGTTTCTGTTTCTCCCAAACAAATCCCAATAAAATCTTCTAAATCAGACACTAGACAGTGATAGTTAAAAGAGAAATCCAGTCATCAGAGGTATATGTCATAGAGAGACAGAGAGAGTGGAAGAGATATCAATCTGAATGCTGATAGTCGTTTCGATTTCTATGTGCATAGAAAAAATGCCAATAAAATTTGAATGGTAGAGGGAACCCGTCCTCGTGTTTTTTTGCTAGTGATTGATGTCATTTGATAGGATTTTAAGAAAAAGAGAAAAAAACGAAGATTTACTGCTTCACTTTTACTGTCGGCGGCTTTGTGATCTAGTCTAAATATGCTGTAACAACTACACATCACTTTTTCCTGTAGTTAAAATTGGTTATTATTCCTCTTTAAAACTAAATTCAGAAATAAATATCTCTAAGCCTTTAAACCCATTTCAAATCTGTTTGAAATCCCGGCTGACCTGAACTGCGAGCGACATCCTTCTCATATTGTGGCGGAGGTGGCACATCGTAATCCAGTGAAGAGCAAGAAAGAGAGGATGGAGATCCACTGTCCGATGTATCCGGATAGTAATACGGATTATACATTCCGACCTGTAGTGAACTTTTGTTTATCTGTTTTTGCAATACCAGCAGAAGATTTGAATTTTTTGAGAAAGGAAGCTTACTTCAAATGAATCCGTGAACTGGCTTATCACAGCTGGAGCAATTGAATCCGACCCTTGGAATAGAGATTTTCGGATTGGGGTATTTGATGGGTCGCTCTGAAATAACAACTTGTTTTTATGAAATCTAAAATTTGAAATTCAATAACTCACATTCAACCATGCCATAAAATCCCTCTCCAGTGTTTCTGGAGTCGAAGTGTCAATGCAGGCTCATCCATTGGAGCAAATTGTTTGTAGAGACGAATTGAAAGAAAATGGTCAACTGCAAAAGAATGTTTGGCTTCGGATACTGGTGAAAGAGATCCAGAAGATTTAAAAAAAAAGAAAATTCAGACCGCAGTAAAAAGTAACGAATCGAATCAGTCGGACGTGGGATAATCGAAACGGGAAAAATGAATGGCGACTAACTTTTTGGACGAAATTCTTGCGAATACTCTGGTATTATGTTTCAGGCAAATCATTTCGTTCTTAGCAGCAGTTTTTTTAACTGCCATCTGTCTTTTGTCTTGTTTCTTGCCCGTTTTCTGATCGTCATCTGGTTTTGTAATTACGGAGGTGTGAAAAGAAGCGGTTGAATCAGAAAAAGAAACAACGGCATATGAAAATTATATAGAAGTTATGTTCGAAATTCGAAATTCCGATTTCCAGAGAATATCAGAAGAATCAAAAAAAGAGAAACTTTTTAAGAGGGGGATTTTATATTTTTAACATCTGCATCATCGACCCACTCGTGCGTGTATCCGGTTGATGCTCTAAATGAGCACTTCAAAAATAAACACGAAAAAGAAGAAGACGTTTTGAAATAAAAGTATGATAATCGGCGTATCCGATAAAAAGAGCAAACGGTCAGATCAAATTAGTGTTCAACTAGATTCGAATGTATCAAAAACGCCGAAGCACCAAAAAGCGAAAATGGAAGAAATGGATACATAAGAGAGATGCAGAAATGAAATTATCGCTTTTAGGAAGAAGATAACAAAGGCACCAGCAAAAAAACAGTCGAAGCGAGAATGATCGTATGTCGCGTGTATACATAGACATATACGGATCAAATGCTATGTGATAAAGGACTCGTAGCTGTCTCCAGGATAGAAGTGAATGCAGAAAAAAACTCAGCGAAATCGTCAACCTGCCACTTCCTGCTTCTTGCCGATCCCTAATTGGGCGATAATGGAAGAAAACTGTTCGATTAACAACAACCTTCAGCCTCTCAGATGATCTCTATGTCGCCCCCGTGAAGAGAGGAGATATTACTGTTATGGCAATTTGAGGGAATGAGGACAGGAGAAAATTGGAGAAGAGGACGGCAAAACAACTGTAGAAACTGGAAGATATAAGGAAACAGAATCAGAAAACGAACACAAATCATTTTTAAGAAGTGGAAAAATAAGAGAGGCAGAAGTTCTCCTAGAAATCAAAAATACTTGGGGCACTTTTATATAACAAAAATAATTTTAAAGTTATAAGCTGATCTGGGATTTAAAAGTTTTTTTCAAACCAGCTTCAAAATTCCATGATGATACCCCTTAAAAAAGAGGGGGGGGGGGGCACCAAAAAGGGTGGGGCCATTTTTATAGCTAATGCTAGTGGCTCAACTCGAATATCCGAGCGGGATCCCCAGATTAACTCCTCCACCCTCCTTTTCTTATCAGCGGATCAAAAAGTGATTAAATGTGTAAATTTAAAGAAAAAAAGTAAGTCAAAGAAAGGAATGCTTGTGGATAAGGAGGAGGAGGTCGAATGGGAGGAAAACAACAAAAGGAAAAGAAAAACAATAGAAAGTGGTAGAGGTGAAATGAAACTATATGGTGTCCATTTGTCCATTATAGCTTATGTCTAATGTTCGCTTCCTCACATAATTTGGTGGTATGGAATAGAGTGGGAACAATAGAAAGATGCTGAAAAACAAGAATGTTTGATTAAAGAAATAGAAAACCATGGACCCTTAACAAATCAGAACACAATCACCAATCTTACAGTATGACATGTTTTATATACTCCCAGCGTTTGTGGAAGAAGAAAGAAGGAAGAAGCTTGAGACATTTTACAATATTGGCATGGTCAATCAGCTGCTATGGAGGGGGAAAAGTTTTGAAATAATAAAAGAATAATGAAAAAATGGAACAAAGAAAAAATGAAGAGATTGAAAAAAAAATCACAAAATACATGGAAGAGAAGCCAACATTTTTTTGAAATCAAGTTTCTGATGTCTGTGTGGAAGTTCAAAATTTTTTGAAAGATTATGAATTGAAATTTAAAGGAATATGAAGGAAGGGGAAACGGAGAGTTGAATAGAATTTGAGTATGTTAAGTGGCTACGATCGAAGCTAACAGTGTCTACAGACTTGCGTCACTTCAGGAAAAGGAAACTCTTCAGCTTCAAAATAAGTTTCAAAAATCTTCTGAGGAAACATGAGAAAAATGAAGTGAGTGACGAAAACAAACAAATAGTGAAAATGAGTGTTGTTGCGCAATAAGCCTCATAATAATTTTCATTTTCATTTCCCTTATCTATATTCTTCAAAAAAAAAAGAATTTTGACTAGATATTGCGATAATTTTCAAATTTCCACACCTGTAGGTGGCGTAGGCAAAGAGACAACGTGAGATGAAGAGACGGAGACCGATGACAACAAAAATATATATGAAGATTAAACGTATAAAGATAACAATCAATCAGGCGCTTCCACCTCCCACAAAACAATTACACAACCTCGCCCCCTTACATGATCCAATCGAATATCTAATATATAATATAAATTAGAAAACGGCTACCTGATTTTTGACACTAGTCCTCTCTCTTTCAAAACCCCTCTTGCCTTCTCTTATGACCGATGGCTGGAAGGAAAGGGGAGTTGCTGAAAAGTGAGAATAAGTGAAAACGAGATGAGATATGTCATCGGAAATTTGTGTTGTTTTAGATTATGCCTTGTTTATTTAGATAAGACTGATTTATCGATCTCAAGAAGTCTCTGGTTCAAAAAAAAACTGGAAAAAAGGAACTGTTCGCTCGAAGAAGGTGACCAGTTGATTCCTCTCTAGCTTAATCTTCTTCAAAAAAGTGAAATACTGTAGAGGGGACTAGCTAAACGATTAGTAGCCTTTGCGATGCTTCAGATGAAAAATCCGGCTGCCCCCACAAAGAGATTATGGACTCCCACGATGCTGCTGCACATACCAATAGACCGCTAAGGCCACAATTGCCCTATATCTCGTTCTGATCCCCCCGCGCCGCGTGAGTAAGAATTGGGCAGATCATGCAACATGGCGGAGAGAATCAAGAAAAGAAAGCAGTTATTTTAGATTGGGCACCTTCGCTCAAGAAAATCGGAACGGTGGTTAACGACGAAAAGAGAAAAATGGTGAAAGTTCGAAAGAGTGGGAGAGAAATGGCGCCAAAATGGTGGGGTTGGGAAGGAACAAAACAGATAAGGTATGAGAATGGGACCTTTTCAGGAAAACTTCAAAGAAAAACCTAAAACAAAAACATAAAAAGAAGAGGAAAGTTCTGAATAGTAAATCGAAAATTAGTCACGGGAAAATCGACGTTTCTTGGTATCTTTGGTGGTTGTTAAGAGTGCAAAACCAGCTACGCGGTTGTAAAAGCAACGTGGGAAAACAAAAATAAGCATTGCGAAATTAACTTTGCTCTGAAAAAGAAAATGAGATTTTAGAAGAGGATCAACAAATACTGTAACTTCTTTAATAGTAGCCGCAAACTCTATACGTGCACTTTGAGGTCAACTATCTCAGTGGCAATGCGATAAACATTTGAACAGCTGACCACTTTTTGATATCATTCACAAGAACCAAGGTAAATGGGGTCAAAGTGCACGGTTGGCTTCTATTAGAGCATTTACGGTAACTCAAAAAGCGTCAAAATATAAGATTCATTGTTTTTTCTGAGCTTCTATGTCTAAATTACATTTGGGAAGACTTTAATTAAACTCAACTCCAGACAGAAGAAATACAAAAGCAGTCTGAACAATCAAGTAGTAAAATACAAAATGTCTGATAACCATAAAAAGATCAAGAAGAATATTTTCAAGAGATCTCTAAGCTTGAATGTATTTCAAGTTCAGCCACAGTACGCTTTAGAATCAAGCAAACTAAAAGAAGAACTGCTAAGAGAAAGGATAATGCTACAGTAACCAAGGAAAGTGTACACAGTTGCATAACGAATCTGATATGAGAACCTAAATCACTCCCATGTCTCTCAAACAGATAAGAGATTCGAAATCAGTCCATTTCAAGGCGTACACGACTGAAATGAAGTGAGGAAGCGATGCTGAGAATGGCAGGAAGGACAAGTTGTTAGTGAAGAATAGTTAGATGGGATGTGTTTTGTGGGAGGACGAATGAAAGTGCGGTGAAATCCATTGAAATACAGACTACTGTAGGGCCGCTATACATATATACATATGTACATAAAAGATATGGAGAGGCTATCCGAGCGACTAACTAGTTTTTATGGAATCAAAAACACGAAACACCAAGAAAAATGCCAAGAAATTTCGGTCGGCTTAAAGCACCAATGGCAACCCTTTCCACAAATGGCAACAAGGGCATCATCTCACCTCTATTCTCAGTTATTCTTCGTGTTGCGCACAACCGATCGTCGTCACTTTTTCATTTCCTCTCACTTTTCGATAATTGTCAAGATTCGAGGAATCGGTGAGTGAGTATGAGAAAGGTGAGAAAAAAAGGAGGAAGTGCTATGTTTCCAGTGAAAGCTACAATGAGTTGTCCGGTCTCCTCTTCCCTAAGCTTTGACTTTCGATTTCCAACACAAAAAACATCAATTTCTTAAAAGCGGTGGAGGATCCATCTAGGGGGAATGAGATGAAGGTGTGTGTGTAACGGGAGGAGATGAAACGAGACAAAAGTTATTATAAAATAGGAATCTGAAAGTTAGATGATTGGAAAAAGACAAAAACCAAAAGGTAGAAGCTGATGTAGTGATGTCAAAAGATCGGAAAAGGAAAGGCAAAAAAAAATGATTTCAGTACTAAAACTAGATGCCACTCTTTTTTATGTGTTTTGTATCCAATGGTAACTGAAATTGAAATCTTTTATTTTTAGATTCAAACTTTCGATTCTTCTCTTGTTGGAGTCCTGGGAAAACGAGATAAACCAAAAAAAGGTTTTATGGACCTATAAAAATGC